TACATCTCTCTTAGAACATTGGCAATTACTTAAGAGATACTACTGGAGAGGTGACCGAGACAGCCTGTAACTAATACCCCCACTGCCAACCCGAGAATATCGTCAATCTGATGCTTCGAGGAACAGAGGATGGCGCGCAGAGTAAATAGCTATAACAGAGCGAGAGAGCAGTTTTTTGAGAAGGTGGGAACGTAATTATGGAGCCCACGAGCTGTGAAGAAGACGAAGGAAGGAGATGAGAAATGCGAAAGCTGCGAACGTCGTTCAAGTGAGGAGGCGAGATGAATGAACGAGGGCCGAGAACACTAGTATTGTACAAATGAGCAGGGGATTTAATCAAGGAATGAATTGATGAACGAAGCGTGCCGCTGCGAGATTTGGCATAACGTAGTCCACGTCTGCACCATGTACCTAGCAGCTGATGCGCGAGATGTAAAGAGCGACGAACGTACTATGTATAAACTTGCAGAATCGACAGAGGTGACGACAGTTAGAATGAGCGCGCACGTGGGGTCTCACGTTGTAAAGAGCAAGATACACATACAGAGATTTATAGTAGAATTTCAGAATCTCAGTCAAGTATGATGTGAGCTGAATACAAATTGCATCGTCCGAGCGAATATCGTCATGAGAAATAGAATACGACAGACGCTCGTGTATTCCAGACAAAGTATTCACTGTGCCGAATTAGTGTTATACAATTGAGATCGAGAGACGAGCACGATGAGCCATTGGTTGATTAGGTTGAGAGTGCTAGAGCCGTGTTGATGGTGATTTTTAGTTTGAGCAACTCAGGAAGAGGAAGTATGAATAGTTCCACAGAGAAAAATGCTGACTCCAGAATGAACAGCTCGAAGCATCTCGGGACCCGATCAAGGAACTCTAGCATGTAAGATCTGGATTGTTTCATGACACCAATACAGAACGGACAGCGGAATAGAAGAGTGAGCCCGACGGGAGACAGAGCAGAACAGCAGAGGCAGAAGGATCCAGCGAATTGCGTACAGAGGAGAACAAGCCAAGACCCTCTGTGAAGAGCAGTAAAATGAAGGTGCAGGCTTAGAAAGACGCCGACTTTACACGAAAGCTAGACCACACCCTGTATGTAACATGTATGTGAGTGCGGATAGTATGAGAATCTATAACGTACATTGGCCATATTAGTTGCAGTGTTAGCTTGAGAGTAGAGAAAAGAGTGACTTCGGTGTAGACAGCCTATTGATAGATATGAAGTTATTTATTTAAACTGAACGATTACTGAGCGCTCAGAAGTATCGATTTGAGCAAATAGGGTCATGATAGGATTCGAGAGCTTGGTGATTGTGAGAGCCATAGCGACATCCTCGGTGTTTGTTGAGAGCTGTTTTGGTAAAATTTTTGTTGAGTCGACAGACGTAGTAGTATGGTGTGTTTTAAAAAACTTATAGATGCAGTAGTGAAATGGACGTAGGAGACCTGTACGATGGGAAGCATATGCTGTTAGACGATGCGAAGAGCCAGATACAAAGACTGACGTAGTTAATTGAGCAGGAGCATTAGTAATGCAGACTAGGTGTTGACTGAATGAGCAGCGTTTGCAGTCGCTAAGTATTTGCCAAAGTCTCTTGTTAACTTGAGTTGTTGTGGGGTAAGCCAGAGATCTAGAAAGGAGGAGCACACTGTGACACTGACTTTGGAACAGTAGAGAAAGCTCTGAGAGAGACAGCCAGTAAGAGAAGCTTCATTATTGCCTGTTGTCTAACAGAAAGGTATTTTAATTTTACTGATTTTTTAACCATTAATATCCCACATGATTATGCTAACATTATACGATTTTTTCAGTTCGCATAAATGGCCACCAACTCACAGTAGATTCGAGTCTAATCTTGCTAGCCTCAATGAAGATTCAGTCTACTATCATCATCCCATTATAACTGACACTTTACAGTCTCCATATAGACAAGTCATTGAATCTTAAGTACAGTTTACTAATTTGAGTAGCTCACGATAATTATCGGCGAGCTAGACACTACTATACATATGAACATAGAACTAACCATAACACGATGTTAAACAACGAACTATGCGACTACGCTTCATGTTTGATCTTGAGATGAATATCTATTGCCAGTTTTATAAACATAGGTGAGCCACATATATAATGTGAGCGTTATCATGAGATGCATGCGTGATATGATATTAATAATATCGTACCTAATATGTGCTCTTGCCAGTGAAGTGACCGTACCATAGTACAAGATTATATCAAGATTGGCTTGATAATTGGGAAGTTCTCAAGAGAACACCACCCAGTATATTTTAGCAGTTTACGAAGTTAAAGAAGTAAGCAGTTGAGTAAAGTTATAATCTTTCTATATTTATTAATGCATTACCAAATATTTATTAAAATTGTTCCAGCATAGGTAACTATACAGTAAGTATATATTAAGTAAGAGTAATCTGCACGAAAATATTAGTTCTAGATCAGATTATCCCTATACTCTGACAATTTGACTCAAAAGTTAGTTCGTCATCACAACTTGATGGCACTTGTATCTTTTTTGCTCTAAGCCCTTGTATTAACAGTGAGCTTTGAAATCTACTTGGAGACTTTTGTGCATGTAGCGTTGGATGATGCAAAATGATTTATCCACCTAACTTGGTTGATGGTGCCTCACATGTTCTGTCATCGCTGCAGGAGTAACTAGAAGTCATTGATATACCATAATCTTATCTGAAATCTGATACTAGGTCTGCAACTGCATCATGATTAAGAGAAATTCACTGCCAGATTTACTGAAAACGCGAACTTTTAATACACTACAGTAAATGTACATAAAAATAGATAGTTCGTATGATTACTTCTGTGATCATTCGTGATTCTAGAACACAATCCATCAGTCCTATGCGACTGCGAATTGAAAATGCCATATATAAATAGTTTCCACGGCTATTCTTCACTTTTTTTGTTCATCACTTAGATCAACTGCTCCAACATACTCTCCCACCACGCAAAGAATTCTCTTGAAAATATCAAATATAAAAAGGCTGATAATACGTCAGTATACGGAGGATCATATCACTAGAGTCTGACTAAGTAAAAACCTCGGCACTCTACTTCGCTGCCACGCCCATAATTCTGCATCCCACCACTCTCTATTACACCCGGTGATCCTAACTTAAGGCAGCTTAGCATTCGGCAGCTTTACTGCAAATGACTGTCTCACTAATACTATATTAAGTTAGGTCTACACTTAATCTGCGAAGATCTAGGCCAAGACTACTCCGATAAGAAATTTATAATAACTAAACAAGATTATGATAAAACTAAGTGTTTATAATAGCACGAGAGAAGAAATACCCATACATGTCTAGTACGCTCATTAGACTCTAATCGTCACCCTTCGCGTCATACTGCTCTAACAGCGATATGCAAAGCGAGTATTTAAGACACATTTGTGGCTACTGATATAGATAATACAATATTCTGAAGACACAATATAGACAGAGTATAAGAAAGCGCCAACATTGTTTGGTTATATGCAAAATCGAACAAATATTTTATGTAACTTCAATAGGGTCACGACTACACATCCGAGTATGGATATATACTGCTCATATGCTAGTGCATTCCTTAGCTAGAAGTTTGCTCAGTTTTCTATATACTGATATATGACGCATGTAGCAGCATATTATGCTCTAGTAAGCATTAATTTAACCGACCCAATGCTCATCGAGCAAGCTTCTCTCAACGAGCTACGATGTACTAGTAATTACCGAATTTCGTATGACCATAAGTACATGCTAATCACGACTTGTATAGCACATGAGACCTTCAGAGTCACATACAGCCCAATATTTCGAGTCGATAACCCAATATTCATATATACGAACTGTCTAATGATCAGATTTGCTCTGTAGCTAAATTATAATTAGCATATAATGTCTGTTCATGCAATATTTAAGGACCGTGTAGAATAGAACTTCTAACCATCATGTAGAGGAATATAGATATAGATATTTCAATTTGTAGTTTCTGAACAAATACATATTTGAAATTTATTATCTCATTTCCTACTAGTGGATTTTGTAAGATCCTATTCTACATCTATATTCCCTACAGTGAACGGATATACCTTTCGACTGTCTAACATCAAAATTTGGTTTTCGGTTACGTTTTGTGAGAACCCGTCCTTACTGATAGTCATACAACATTTGTATAATCCAGGGACTTCTCACATGATTAAATAATTTTACTAGGAAAAATTTCATTACATTCACAAAACAGCAAAAATTTCCGTGTAAAGAAACATTATAGCGTAAAACCTATGGTTGTTAGAGTATATAGTATTAAAAATTTATTTTGAAAACAAGTTGTTCTTATTCCCTATATCCAATGATTTAGTTGAAACATATTAACATGATCTAAAAGTCAGTTATGTAGGAGGCATTTGTATACATCTAGCGTACCAGAATTTAATGGTATGTTTACTATTATAAAATGTTTTTCATATCTACTGTTATTATTATATTTTTTTACTTCTGTCTTCCTGGTGTTTTCGATTGAATTGTTGTGGAGTGTTTTGTATGAATTTGATAATTATATATTCTTTGTAGAAAACCTCTCGATACATATAGAATAAATACCTTATGGTTTACTATAAATGTACCATTCAACGCCTGATAATATGATGCAGTTGCAGATACACCAGAGAATACGAATTATATATTAAATGTGCTTCTAACTTTGTTGAAAATCCAGATTATAAAATTACCATTTAGATGATGTTTTGATATTTCCTCCAAAGATACAGCATGAACACAAGTTGGTGAAAGGATCACTACTACTCAAGATAAGTTTGGCATAATTTGCTTGAGTAGATATATATATATTATATAGATATATATATATATATATATAATATATAATATATATATATAATATTAATATATATATATATTATATAATTATTATAAAACACAGCTTCTCAGCTTTTTTTAATGTGATTTGTGTTGTTTAGGCTAGCTGTTTACCTGCTCTTGCTTTCTTATCCAAAAACCTGGCAGGTAGTTTAGATATGTGTGCTGCTCCAGGACTGAAACTAGCCATTTGGCGAATCTATTGCAGAACAAGGGGTATTAAATCATTTTTCTTCTTTTTCTCTCTCTCACTGCCCTCTCTCTCACTCCACTCTCTCTCACCTCCCTCTCTCTCACTCCCTCTCTTCACTCCCTCTCTTCTCACTCCCTCCTTCACTTCCCTCTCTCTCACTCCCTCTCTCTCACTCCCTCTCTTCCACTCCCTTTCTCTCACTCCCCCTCTCTCAACTCCCCCTCTCTATCTCTCGCTCGTCCCTCTCTATCTCTCGCTCGCCTCCCTCCTCTCTATCTCTCGCTCGCTCCCTCTCTATCTCTCGCTCGTCTCTCCCTCTCTCGCTCGGTCTCTCCCTCTTCGCTCGGCTCTCCCATCCTCGCTCGCGTCTCTCCCTCTCTTCGCTCGGCTCTCCCTCTCTCGCTCGGTCTCAATCTCTCTCGCTTCGCTCTTCTCACTCCCTCTCTCGCTACGCCTCTCTCTCCCTCTCTTCGCTCGCTCTCTCTCTCGCCTCTCTCGCTCGCTCTTCTCCCTCTCTCGCTTCGCTCTTCCCTCTCCGCTCGCTCTCTCCTTCCCTCTCTCGCTCGCCTCTCCTCCCTCTCTCGCTCGCCTCTCTCCCTCCCCTCTCTCGCCGCTCTCTCCCGTCCCTCTCTTGCTCGCTCTCTCCCTCCCTCTCTCCGCTCGCTCTCGTCCTCCCTCTCTCGCTCGCTCTCTCCCTCCTCCCTCTCTCGCTCGCTCTCTCCCTCCCTCTTCTCCGCTCGCTCTCTCCCTCCCTCTCTCGCTCGCCTCTCCCTCACCTCTCTCGCTCCTCTCTCCCTCCCTCCTCTTCCCGCTCGCTCTCTCCCTCCCTCTCTCGCTCGCTCTCTCCCTCCCTCTCTCGCTCGCTCCTCTCCCTCCCTCTCTCTCGCTCTCTCGCCGTCCCTCTCTCGCTCGCTCTCTCCCTCCCCTTCTGCTTCCTCTCTCCCTCCCCCTCTCTCGCCTCGGCTCTCTCCCTCCCTCTCTCCGCTCGCTCTCTTCCCTCCCTCTCTCGCTCGCTCTCTCCCTCCCTCTCTCGCTCCTCTCTCGCCTCCCCTCTCGCTCGCTCTCTCCCTCCCTCTTTCTCGCTCGCTCTCTCCCTCCCTCTCTCGCTCCTCCTCCCTCCCTCTCTCGCTCCGCTCTCTCCCTCCCTCGGCTCGTCTCCCTCCCTCTCTCGCTCGCTCTCTCCCTCCCTCTCCGCTCGCTCCTCTCCCTCCCTCTCTCGCTTCCTCTCTTCCCTCCCTCTCTCGCTCGCTCTTCCCTGCCCTCTCTCCGCCTCGCTCTCTCCCTCCCTCTCTCGCTCGCTCTCTCCCTCCCTCTCTCGCTCGCTCTCTCCTGCCCTCTCTCGCTCGCTCTCCTCCCTCCCTTCTCGCTCCGCTCTCTCCCTCCCTCTCTCGCTCGCTGCTCTCCCTCCCTCTCTCCGCTCCTCTCTCCCTCCCTCTCTTCCCCTTCCTCTCTCCCTCCCTCGCTCCCTCCCTCTCTCCCTCCTCTCTCTCGCTCGCTCTCTCCCTCGCCTCTCTCGCTCGCCTCTCTCACTCCCTCCTCGCTGCTCTCCTCCCTCCCCCCCCGCCCCCCCTCTCTCGCTCGCTCTCTCCCTCCCTCTCTCGCCTCGCTTCCCTCCCTCTCTCGCTCGCTCCCTCCCTCTCTCGCTCGCTCCTCCCTCCCTCTTCTCGCTCGCTCCCTCCCTCTCTCGCTCGATTCTCTCCCTCTCTCGCTCCATCTCCCTCTCTCGCTCCTCTCTCCCTCTCTCGCTCGCTCTCTCCCTCTCTCGCTCCTCTCTCCCTCTCCGCTCGCTCTCTCCCTCTCTCGCTCGCTCTCTCCCTCTCTCGCCTCGCTCTCTCCCTCTCCACTCGCCGCTCTCTCCCCTCTCTCGCTCGCTCTCTCCCTCTCTCCTCCTCTCTCGCCTCGCTCGCTCGCTCGCTCGCTCGCTCGCTCTCTCCCTCTCTCGCTCCTCGCTCTCTCCCTCTCTCCTCCGCTCGCTCTCTCCCTCTCGTCCGCTCGCTCGCATCTCCCCTCTCTCGCTCGCTCGCTCTCTCCCTCTCTCGCTCGCTCTCTCCCTCTCTCGCTCGCTCGCTCTCTCCCTCGCTCGCTCGCTCTCTCCCTCGCTCGCTCGCTCTCTCGCTCGCTCGCTCTCTCCCTCGCTCCCTCTCTCTCTCCCTCGCTCGCTCCCTCTCTCTCTCTCCCTCGCTCGCTCCCTCTCTCTCTCCCTCGCTCGCTCCCTCTCTCTCTCCCTCGCTCCCTCTCTCTCTCCCTCGCTCGCTCCCTCTCTCTCTCACTCCCTCTCTCTCCCTCCCTCTCTCTCTCACTCCCTCTCTCTCTCACTCCCTCTCTCTCTCACTCACTCTCCCTCTCTCACTCACTCACTCTCACTCCCTCTCCCTCCCTCTCACTCACTCCGTCACGCTTTCTGTCTCAATTTTTCCTCTCTCTGTTCCTTTCTTTCTTTCATTCAGTGTGTGTGTGTGTGTGTATATGTATGGGCTGTCAAAAATGTTCAATTCACTTTAGTAAATTTACACATTGTTTTCAATGTGTTTGTGGAAAACTGAAAGAGGCACAGCGAAGTTTGCTCTAAATGGTCAGAAAGGATGATAGGAATAATATTAACATTATTTAACCCAGCAGTAACGTTTCTCTTGCATTGAGTACAAAAGTCACAAGTACAAAATTTCATAAAGATGTAAATAAAATATAGAATATCATTAAGATGAAAACAGCAAATTTTTACATAAAATAAAATTAATATTCGAAAAATATTAACATATCTCCTAAAATGCCCAATGATCCAGTGATAACTGCATTGAATCTCTTCAGTAGTTTCAGGGATTACACAGATAGACAAAAATCATAAATATAGTTAAATTGTTTTTATATCATTTAAATAATGATGGGGACAGAGTTAAATTATGGAACTATTGGTGGGATGGAAATCTGGAACAATTAGTGAAGAAATCTTAATATAAAAGATGGCTGTCACCATATATCCTCTAGTCAGAACTGCTTGTATGAAGCAAGGAAACTATCAAAACGCAAGTATGTAATGCAAAGGATGAATATTGGAACCCACTTTTGCCATATAGGATGAAGTAGACACATTGGAAGCTCATGATGAAGAGAAGTCCGCAAAACTATTTAAAAATTAAAGCCAAATGAGAATGAAGGAGAGGAGAGGGTAAGAAAGTAGGAGTGAGGGGGTGGGGGAGTGGGAGTTAGATGTTATTCACTGTTGGAAGTAGAGTATCAGTATTGAGAAAGAATAGTATGATAGAGATTTGTGAACATATATCTATTTTTGTGTGCATCGTATTATGTGTCTTCATATTCAACGTTTTGAGACACAGCCTTGCTTAATAGTTTGCCTCCTTTTTGTGTATTACTAGGTTATTGAAATCTGTTTACTGCTACTTCTCAATGTTTTGTCAGAGAGTTTTCTTGGAAGGAAGATTGATTGATATTATTGTTACACTCCCGTATTCTGTTCTTTACTTTCCCTGAGCTGTGTCCTATGTACAAGTAAGCGCAATCTTTACAATTAAGTTTATAAACAACTCTGCAAATCTGTAATTTGGAATACTATCTCTCTTATGGTATTCCAGAGATAGTATTCCAAACATTTTTTAGAAAGGCAGTTATTTTGAAATTACAGATGCACACTCTTCAAATTTATTTAAATAGAAAGTATATTCCTTATATTTCGATTAACTATACATGATTATATACAATTATCGTGTATAGTATTAACAAGCCATTCAAGGTAGTAAGTATAAACATATTTTTAACAAATTCCTTCAAAGAGAATGACAATGGTGAATTTTGTACTTGCTTGCACACAATGTCTACATGTTAAGAAATCATGCACAAAGACTAGAATTATCTCAGTGCTCTTATCTTTTGAAAAAGTTTTACGAAGAAATTGGGAGTAATATTGCGTAAAATATTGTTTAGGTAATTTTGGAAAATAGTCATGATTTAACTCTGTATTACTTGAAAATTGCGAGTGTTGAATCTGAAGTTTTAGTTATAGATTGCAGTAGAAAAGGAATATTTTCCTTCAATAATTGAGGTGTTGAATGGTCAAAAAGTTTTAAACTATCAATTTTCAACATTTCAGGAGTTTTAATTAAAATAAAAATATAATTGAATCAGCATGAAAAGAGTGAACAAGTCAAAAATGCAATTTTTATTTTTATTTTGGAAAGTTGTTCTTTAATGCAAGGCAAATTGTTGTGTGAAGATAGGAATCCTCTCATAAGTGTTTAGTTAATAAATTGCAAGATGGAGCTAGCTGCACTGCGGAGGAAGGGATCAAGTCACTGATATGTTCCATTACTCCTCAGTACCGTAATTTTGATTTGGAATGTTTGCCATGCATATCACAGCTAAACTGAACATTGTGGCGCTTGAAACTCACAATCACTCATGTGAAGTGGTTATTTGAGGATTCAGCTCTTGTGACATATTCTCATATTCTGGTCAGAATAGAAACCATGCTGTCCTGAGAATATGTTAGGATAATCTGGATTAGTAAATATTGGGTACCTGTTCAAAATAGTGCAGAAACTTCCTGAAAGAGGGCATTCTTTTCTGGTATGAGACAGATTTGGGGGTATTTAAAAAATAAAAAAAAAATAAAAAATAAAAAGATCTGATGGCATATACACACCAAGGGACTGTTTGGAAATAATTTGCATTGCTAAATCAAATACATTTGTGTGTACAGTGGACAGTATTCACATTTTTTATTTTGATAAATGGCCGAAAGACTTAAAGAAAACAGTTTTTTTTCTGTGGAGACAAGAACACCGTAAACATCTAGAAAATTAAGGCCTAGTCATTTCAAAGAATTTACTTTTAGTTCTGATGATCCTGGTGTGGTTGTTGCATGACCATATATTAATAGCTGTGAAGTTTATAAATCCCAAATATAATATTCTTAAATATTATTACATTTATGGGTGTGGTAATCAGTTTTTTTTAACTCTACTCTGAGGAGGGAGTAAACATGTCAAAGACAATCAAAAGCAAATTCAGACCCCATAAATGACATTTAATAGAAAGTACATTAAAAATAATTTAGTGCTATCATTGTGTAAATTCACTCAGAAAAATTGGACAGGATAATATTAAATATGTGAATATTATTTGATGATTTCTTCCCTTCTGAAAAGTTTGCAAAAAATAACTTGTTCCCTTTCTTCTCAGCCCGATTTAATTATTTTTTGTAGGTACACTTTTTTTCTATTTCAGCAAAAAATTCAAAGCCTTTTTTGAGAAAATCTTACTGGCTGTTAATGAAGTACTCCCAAAAATTGATTAATGCCCTTTGACATTTGATTGAAAATATTAAAGGCAGAATTTTGGTGCTTGGTAATGATGAAAGTGTCTGTAGACCAGGGTTCAATGCTAATTTGAACTATTGTAGTTCATTGAGCATGTAAAACATTCTTCAGGTTTTGAATTTGATATGTAACCAAATTCAGTATGTCCTGTCCGCCCACCTAGGGAGTACAGGACCTTGACGTGGTGGTGGAGCTTGTGTGCCCCCGTGAACCTGAGAGCT